TTTTTACCTCCTTGTCTAGGGGTGTTTCAAGTTGGTATCAGAGCCCTAGTTTAAGTGAACTAGGTAAGGATCTAAGACGCCTAGACTTAAGCTGAGATTTTAAGCATTAATTCGTGAGCTATGGGTAGAGATTTTTTTTAGATAKGAGAGCTCTAAGAGTCAACGGAGTTGCATAWTTCATGAAATCRTTTTGATGGTGTTGAGGATCCTTATGTATAACCTATTCAAAATTTCATCTAGCTAATGCTATTTTGAGTAAGTAGTTGCATGAGCATGCTTGGACTCACTGTTATTACAAAAATTATGATTGTGTCGGTACCGTATTATGTTAGCTAGATATATGTATATTTCCTCCTATCCTAACTTTCTATCACTCTCTTGTATGAACAGACTTTATGGTGAATACTCGGAGTAGACGAGAAACCTCGCCAGAAGGTCAAGCGGTGACTGAATCTACCGCGGATCAACCACCACAGAACACCACCGCAAGGGTTCATCCGAGGCAAAGCAATTTSGGCGGTAGAGTTGATCATGTTCCCCAAGTTGACCTTGCCACCTCTAACCCCCTGATGGAAGAAGAGACCCCGGAGTCAAGGATATTGGGCACAATGATGAACRCTATGAACAGAGCCATGACTCAGCAACAAGAGTTCTTTACGAAGTTGTTGGAAGATAGAGATGCTAACCACCGTAAGCACGAAGCGGTTGCCGAAAACGTAACTAATGTGGGATCCAGGGGCACTGGAAATGGAATCCCCACCCAGGAAATGACAACGATTGAGGCAAGGCAGACGGGTAGAGTTTGCTCATACAAGGCTATTTTATGTTGCAAACCACCGGAATTTGTGGGGTCAGATGACCCCGTGACTTGCATGAATTGGCTTCGAGAGATCGAGCAAGCCTTCCGGGCTTGTGACTGTGAAGACGGGCAAAAAGTGAAGTTTGGCTCTCAAATGCTAAGGGGTGCAGCCCTTACCTGGTGGAATATTGTCATCTCAACCATCGATGCTACTGAATTGACCAAGATGTGTTGGACCACATTCAAGAAAAAAGTAATGGAAGAGTATTGCAACGAGCAAGAGATGGACCGTATAGAAGAAGAGTTTCCGAACTTTAAAAAAAGGAAATCTGACGGTAAGAGACTACACTCGACTCTTTATGGAGAAGCTAAACCTGGTGGGATACGTGGCCCCAACGAAGAATGATAAGATGAAAGCCTACCTTAAAGGGCTACCTGCTGACATGATGATTATGGTTAGGAATTCAAGAGCAACCACCCTCAGGGAGGCAATCGAAGAAGCCAAGGTCTTGGAATCAGTTTATGCTAAGATAAGGGAAGAAAGGATGTCGAGTGGGGAGAAGAGGAGGTGGGAAGGGCCCTACGCACCATCCAAAAAGCCAAACCACTTTGGCAACAGCAATCGCGGAGCTCATCTCAATCAAGAGACAAGATGGTGTCCCAAGTGTCGCAGCAAACATCACGGCCCATGTAGCACCAATCCTACCCCCACCAAATGCTTTAAGTGTGGGAAAGCAGGCCACGCACGAAATGAGTGTTCGACCAAGGGACCCATATGTTTTGGATGCGGAGAGCTAGGTCACTTCAAGAGTGATTGCCCGAAGTTGAAGGCGGGAGGGGGTCARTCAAGAAAAGAAATTACTYCGAGAACAGCAGGCCGAGCCTTTCAGATGACAAYGGAAGAAGCTAAAGCATCKGCGGATGTGGTGTCGGGTACGTTCCTTGTTAACTYCGTACCTGCACATGTGCTTTTCGATTCGGGTGCTTCATGTTCTTTTGTGTCCAATGCATTTTATCAACRTTTGYGSATGCCCTCTAGTGCACTAGAAGATGCCCTGATCGTAGAGATAGCGAATGGTAGTAGAGTGCTAGTGCGTGAGGTCGTTAGGGGTTGCGTTTTGGAAATTGAGGGAAAGGAGATTCCGGTAGATCTTATACCCATGACTATCGGCGGTTTTGACATCATAATTGGGATGGACTGGTTAGCGAAGAACCAAGCAKAAATCGTATGTTCTAAGAAATTGATTCGAATCCCTTTACCGGACGGGAATGCAATGCTGGTTTTCGGATAGAGGAATCAGGAAAGTGTAATGCTCTTGTCGATGGCAAAGGTGCGCAAATGCCTAGCTAAAGGGTGTCCCTCGTTCATTGCATACGTGTTGGATACCAAGCTAGAGGAAAGAAGAATGGAAGATGTGAAGGTAGTCAATGAGTTTCTCGACGTATTTCCTGAAGACTTACCCGGTTTGCCACCCGATAGACAGGTGAGATTCCAAATTGACCTTTTTCCCGGAACCGCTCCAATTGCTAGAGCCCCTTACCGTTTGGCCCCTTCCGAGATGCAAGAGTTGATGTCCCAATTGCAAGACCTCCTTGAGAAATGATTCATTAGACCGAGTTCGTCACCGTGGGGAGCTCCGGTCTTATTTGTAAAGAAGAAGGACGACACTATGAGGATGTGTATTGACTACCGAGAACTTAATAAGGTAACCGTGAAGGACAAATATCCTCTCCCTAGAATCGACGATCTTTTTGATCAACTTCAAGGAGCATGTTGCTTCTCAAAGATCGACCTTCGTTCGGGGTATCACCAGGTGCGAGTAAAGGAAGATGACGTGATGAAAACTACTTTCAGAACCCGTTACGGACACTATGAATTCTTGGTCATGCCTTTCGGTTTGACCAATGTTCCAGCAGTATTCATGGACTTGATGAACCGAGTGTGCCGACCATTCCTTGATAAGTCAGTGATAGTGTTCATTGACGACATACTCATCTATTCCAAGGACGAGTCAGATCATGAACAGCACCTCCGCGAAGTTCTCAACGTGTTAAGAAAAGAGAAATTGTATGCAAAGTTCTCCAAATGCGAATTTTGGCTAAAAGAGGTCCAATTCTTGGGTCACGTTGTCACTCGAGATGAGGTGAAGGTGGACCCATCCAAAATTGAGGCAATGATGAACTGGGAACCACAAAAAAGCCCATCGGAGATTCGAAGTTTCTTGGGTTTGGCGGGTTATTACAGAAGATTTATCCAAGACTTCTCCAAAGTCGCTTCTTCCTTAACGGCGTTGACTAGGAAGAATGTGAAGTTTATCTGGACAGAGAAGCAGGAAAATGCTTTTAGAACTCTCCAAAAGAAGTTATGTGAAGCCCCGATTCTCTCCTTGCCAGAAGGGTCCGAAGATTTTGTAGTCTTCAGTGATGCTTCAAAAATGGGGTTGGGTTGCGTCTTAATTCAAAGAGGAAGGGTGAGAGCTTACGCATCAAGGCAACTCAAGGACCACGAGAAGAATTACCCCACCCACGATTTGGAGCTAGCAACGGTGGTGTTCGCCTTAAAGTTTTGGCGGCATTACCTCTATGGCACTAAGTGCACGCTTTTCACTGATCACAAAATTTTAAAGTACATTTTCGATCAAAAAGAACTAAACATGAGGCAACGACGATGGCTCGAGCTACTCAAAGACTACGATTGTGAGTTGCTGTACCACCTGGGTAAGGCGAATGTAGTGGCGGATGCTTTGAGCCGAAAGGAGTACAGTGGTGGGATGAAAGCCGTGCTTATCAGGATTGATGTAATGTCCAGTCTGATCGATCAGATCAAGGTGGCACAGTCTGAAGCACTTTTGGAGAAAAACCTCAAGAGCGAAGTTATGGTGAAACAACACTTACTTCTTACGGAGGATGGTCGTGGTTTGAAGTTGTTTCAAGGTCGTATTTGGATACCCAAGGTCGGGAGAAACCGTGAACTGTTACTAGAAGATGCGCACAAGTCTAAATACTCCATTCACCCAGGTAGCACCAAGATGTACCGAGATTTGAAATTGACATATTGGTGGCCTGTTATGAAGCTGGATGTGGCTCGTTACGTAGAGAAGTGCATGACATGTTTGCAAGTGAAAGYAGAGCACCAACGACCTTATGGTAGTCTTCAATCCTTGGAAATTCCCRAATGGAAGTRGGAACATATTACCATGGATTTTGTGACCAAACTGCCTAAGACACTCAGAGGCCATGACACTATTTGGGTAGTGGTGGATCGACTGACGAAGAGTGCTCACTTCCTAGCAATGCGAGAAACATTGCCAATGGACAGACTTGCCAGGTTATACATCGATGAGGTAGTTTCGAGKCATGGTATACCACTGTCCATAGTGTCAGACCGGGATAGCCGGTTCACCTCCCATTTTTGGAATGGTTTGCAGAAAGAGTTGGGCACGAGAGTGAAGCTGAGTACAACTTACCACCCTCAAACCGATGGCCAGAGTGAGCGGACCATCCAAACACTCGAAGACATGCTTAGGTCGTGTACTATCRATTTTGGCRGGAGTTGGGATTCTCACCTACCCCTAGTGGAGTTCKCTTACAACAATAGTTATCATTCCAGCATCGGGATGGCACCTTTTGAGGCTTTGTATGGTCGAAAATGTAGGACCCCGGTGTGTTGGCTAGAAGCGGGTGAGAAGCAATTYGCCRGTCCCGAGATCGTGCAGGAAATGGCGGATAAGGTGAAATGTATTCGGGAGCGTTTAAAGGCGGCTCAGGATCGACAAAAGAGTTATGCGGACAAGAGGAGTCGACCCGCGGAATTTCAAGTAGGCGACCGTGTAATGCTGAAAGTGTCCCCATGGAAGGGCATTATCTGTTTTGGGAAGTGTGGGAAGCTGAGCCCCCGTTTTCTTGGACCGTTTAGAGTTTTGGCTAGAGTGGGGCTCCAAGCTTACAGGTTAGAACTACCACCCGAGATGGCTAGAATCCATAACACATTTCATGTGTGAAACCTCCGTAAGTGCTTCGCAGAGGAAAGAAGTGTGATACCACTTTCGGAAATTCGCGTGGACGAGCACAATCGATGTGTGGAAGAACTGGAAGCTATCTTGGAAAGCAAGACAAAGAGGTTGAGACACAGGGAGGTCGTCATGGTTAAGGTAAAATGGAAGCACCATCGAGGGTCGAACGTGACGTGGGAAGCGGAAGAGGACTTAAAGAGGCGCTACCCCTATCTTTTCGTGTAAACTGAAATTTCGAGGACGAAATTTAGTGCAAGTAGGGGAGGATTGTAACACTCGAAATTCTTCCCCTATTCCATGTTAAGGTATGTCATTTATTTATTTACTTTCTTTTCTTCTTCTTTTAGCCTACCTCGTCTTGTAGGTCTCTTA